AAGTTCCCTGTCAAGTGTGCAGGTTCTTGTTTCATCCCATCTTTTGGGTTTGTCACTACCGATGTTGTCAGTCCAATAAAAAGCCAGGTCCAAAAAGTATTTGGTTGATTGCCTTTGATACATCTTAGTTGATGGATACTTCAGGCAAAGCTTCTTCACATCCTCGTACTAACCCTGAATTTATTTCGTGGTCTGTCCAGGGTGAGTAGTGCTTGTCTGCTATCTGTATAGATGAGCATGTTCCTTTCAGTGATATTACTTCTAGTGATTTCTTTTGCTGCTATGAAAATCCTTGTGAGCTTGCTATGAAATACACTGCCACTATTCCTCACAGCCCATTTTTTGTTTATATTTAAGGATATGGAATACATCTTAATCAATGTTTTGTTTTAGAACCATTGGTGTAGATATATGTCACTTCCGGTTCTTTTACAAGGTGGCCCAAAAGTGACGAACTTCCTTTATTTTTTTTCTTTTAGAAATTTCACTTGGTAAGTGTGAAAATGTACCATGGTAAAATACAGCAGGTTACAACGCACCAAAATCGTTTAGTTTTATCTTGAGAACCAGCAAGAGTATCATTGTTATTTTAACATTAGTGATACACCTTCGGAGGCAATGATTCATCGTTTAATGGATTGTTTTGAGTAAAAAAGGTTCGGTAGGTGACCTTCCACGTACCAGAAGATCACGAACAGCTAGGACAAAAGAAAATGTGAATCTTGTGAGGGGTAGTATCGAAGAAGACCCAGAAACGTCGACTCGGAGGCGAGCTACTCAACTTAACCGTCGAACCTCACTACAGCGGATTTTACACGGTTTACATCTTTATCCGTACAAGATTCAAAAGGTTCAGGAATTAATACCTGATGATTACCCAAGAAGGCTAAACTATGCATTCAGACTTCAACAATTAGCAAGAGAGGAAAATGACTTGCACCCTGTTAAATGTACAGTTTGGTGTGGAGTAACATCACGAGACTAAATCGGATAGTTTTTTTTTTTCTAAAATAATGGTAATGCAGTGACCGTAAATGGAGAACGATATAGGGCCATGCTTCAGAATTTTGTGAGACCAGCAGTGGATCGTAGACCAGGAATGTGGTTTCAGCAATATGACGCTACCTGCCATACAGCTGGAACCACATTGGAAGTTGTAAGGGCCATTTTTGGCATCGAATAATTTAGAGAAGATGTGCCATGGATTATCCGCCGCGATATCCGGCCCTCATGACCTCTGATTTTTTTATGAGGATACCTGAAGGGAAAAGTTTTTACAAATAAACCTCGGACAATTCCATAACTCGAGAAAACGAAGTGGAAAATGCAAGACATTTGAAAGATGTTATATTTCGTACTTAGTATAAAAAAACTATAAGATGTGATCTTTCTATTATGCTTTGAATTAATAAAAAAAATTAAAAACCTAACATTTAGTGACTGATTAAAACCCCTTCGCGACTTTTGGGCCATCCTGTATTTGTTCTGTTATAACTTTATATGGCTTATGGAAGATATATTTAGGAGAGATGAAGTATTTATATTTTTTGTTTAAATTTAATAAAATTAAAAACTTTAATGAATCTGTTTTATACATATAAAAATAGCATATTTAAAAAAATGGAATCAAATAAAAATACTGTTTAGTTTCTTAATATTTGAGTCATGCAGTACGCATGCAACAATCGATAAATTGAAAAATTTATTTTTTGATCACAATTCACCCCAAAACACATAATAAAATTCAAATTTTATTACACCTATAGATTTAAAGAAACCTAGTTTCAATTAAACATTTTATGTATTTAAAATTATTAAATACAGAAAAAACGAATAAAGCATGACACTTTATTATAGACAACAAGTTTCAATTTCACGTGTTTTTACGTTACAAAGGGTTATATTAAAAAAGATTTAGAACATCTTAATCGTAAGGATAATGCATGTCTTTCATTATACAAATGCCGAAGCCATCAAAATAAAATCGAATATAGTGAGTCATCGGTATTTTGTATTTGGTTAAATAATTACATGGGCACCGCCAGGGGGCATATGGGTCAATTGCCCCCCACCCTCTTGGCAAAAGACTTTCCGCACTTTTCTAATAAAGAAATGGTACTCTATTAAAATTTTCTAGGCTAGTTTTTAATATATAGGGTGTTAAAGTTGCAAATTGGCTATTTTTAAAAAGGTTGCAGCACTTTTTAACCAAGTACCTACTTTGATTTTTATTTAACATTATTTGAAATCATCGACAACTGTAAAGACTAAATTATTCATATATCTCTTTATAAAACAAATACAAGAATAAAATTTTTAGCTTAATTCTCTGAAATATGCAGAAAACTTTAACTTACCAAAAGCGGCTCCAGGGAGAGGGCCGTGGGGACCAGGCCCCCTCCTCGAGATTAAAACCCTTACAATTTATTAGCCTTTTATTAAAAAAAGATTTGCACACACATATTATTATTATTTTTAATACACTACCATTTAAATGCTTTTAAGTTCGGTTAATAAAGGTTTGCTTAGATTTTTTTTACCCTGGAGATACTACAAAAATTAAATAAATTTATAACATGAAATACATTAAAATAAATTTGAAATTCTCTTTTCTTTTATAGGTTTAATATTTTTTATTTTTAAATTCTAAAATTTAAAAACCTAATTACCACTTTAATATAATAATTGACGATTTCACACTTGAGTGTTGAATTATTTATATTCCTAGCTACCTGGAACCGCTTTTGCAACCTTTAAAAAGAATAAAACGGCTCAAAATCGATACCATAATATAATTTTTAAAAAGATGGAACAGAACAATTAGTTTCGGCCCATATAACCATCATCAGGCATAATATGAAATGGTACAAAGATAAAAATATACAAAATTTATCCATCTAGTGGTATTAAGTGACTTGTGAAGGTAAGGTATCAATTAAATACCATACCTTGATGGTAAATAATTTATAAAAATTTAATACAAATTAGAAAAAATTCAAAGTAGAATTTAAGAAATTTTATTTTTTTTTAGTTGAAAGCTTACATAGATTGAAACTGTTAATAAGGGGTAGAAGTACTCCCAGTTAACAAGTGCGGAGAAATTATAATGTGTACCGTCATATATAAAAAATGGTGGGACCACAAAAAAATATACCAAAAAATAAGTTTATTTAATTAATCATATCTGTCGTTGCCAAGTGGAATATCTCATATTTCAAAAACATAATAATAGCAAGTTATTATATAACTTTTACACTTTATTAACAAAATAAAGGCAATTTTAACCGATGAAATGTTAAAATATAGACAAGCAAATTGAAATTTTTTGAATTGGTGATATATTAATTTGGAAAATATGTCAATCTTTAAGTAAAAATTAAAATTCCATTTTCAATAATGTTTTATTATCCTGTAACTAATAATAATTTATAGCTGATACTGGCAATATTGTTTAAAATCAGTAAAGCATTATTCTTGGAAAATATCTGCAATCAAATTACTTCCTAACAAAGTAGTTTTAAAAATTGTCCATTTTACAATTTGAACACTTTGTTTATCATATAACTTGTCATAAACGTGGACACTTTTGTTTAGAAAATTTAACAGAGTATTACTTCTCTATCAAGGAAAGTCAGGGTTCTCTTCAAATTTGCAAAAAAATGAGCGACGTTTTTAAATAGTAACTTTTGTCAATCAATTATTGGGAATAAATTTAAACAATCATTAGTTACCTATTTCATATCTAATAAATTAAATTAGGAATGTATGCCTTTTAGGTTAGGTTCACAAAATTGTATGTTTGCCCCCTCGCCTCTTCCTGGAAAAAATTCTAGCGGCGCCCATGATAACTGGATAAAAGTATGAACGAATCCAAATAATTTTTAATTGTTAATAATCAAATTTTTTTTAAAGACAAGACACCATCAAAGGCCTGATAAATAACTATAAATGTGTCATTATTATCAAGGAATGTCCTTTTACAGAATCAAAAAGATTTTTTGCTGAAACCTAACATATATATATCAAATTAAAAAATATTAAAACATACCTAAAATAATATAATTCATCTAGCTGGTGTCTGTTCATCAGCATCAAAATGTATCATTAATGGCTATAATTTTCAGCATTAACATCAATAAAATTAATTTAAATAGAATTTTCAGTATCAGCGATTCATAAATGTATGGGTGACCAAAAACCCTTGATGGGTTAATAATAATAATATGTATGTACAAAATATATAGGGTGGATAGTTTTTTATCGAAAACATTATTTACATTCTTACAATAGTCATTTTATGTAGACATTAGGAATGTATATTATTATTGTATATCGCTAAATTCTGACTAGCGAAGCAATTTAATGTATTTTACATAATAATTTAGCTAAGGTAAAATATTAAACAATGATCAAAGTATAAAAATTGACAATAAAGTCGATGCTCTCATGCAACTTTGATTTACCCGAATTTCATCATAAATACAATAGATTTTGATATGTGCAATTTTTCAAGTGGTGATTATCTATTGATTAAAATTACTGCAAAATATATCTAGTTCAGAGAATCACTATTAAGGTATTATATAATAAATGAAGGTTCGTTTTAAAGATATATACACAGTACCTAATATGTTTACACGAAAATTATACCAGTGTCTCTTGATTTAGCTGCCTCTATTTTGAGTCCAGCAGGAATAATTACAATCGAGAAAATGCATTACCAACCATTAGTATTCGTGTATAAAAAAATCTATATATATACGAAAAAGAAAAGAATACAGATAACAAATAAAAATGTAATAACTACAACAGCATTCAAAATGTGTAAGATAAGTAAAATCTACTAGCAAATATTATCGAAATACTGAACAAGACAGAATAAAAATAAACATCTACAAAGGGGTATCAATAGGGTATCAAGGTAATAACAAATTCTACGATGGACTAGTGTTTCAAGTGGATGCTAAAAAATGGGACACCAAGATAAGTATGATGCCTACCATTTGGTAGCGATAGACAGATGTGTAAAAGAAGTATGAGCGTCAGTAACCGTGGTGGCCTTCTTTCGAAGCAGTAGTAACGATGCTGCATTTCCATGAGTAGCAATAGCAGAACTATCTTGTGCCAGTGGTGAACGATGTTTTAAATATTTTCATTTAAATAGATTTTAAAGCGATTTATTTTTATCATTATTATTTAGTTATTTCAAGTTTTAGTTTAAACATTTTTTTAAGTTTCACAATTTTTTAAGTGCTCGAGTTTGGCTTATTTTAATTTGACACATATATATATATAGTCGTGTATGTATCACAAATGTTGTTATACATACACTTGTATATACGATTAGGTACCGATAATTAGGTTAGCTTTAGGTTATATCATGTTGACTGTTTAGTGGCTAAAGTGCAGAGTCGTGTACTAAAACCAAAACCATGTCGAAAACCGAGTCTTATGCTCCTCTGTCGAATTGCTACTACTGCGCTGCCGCTATGCTGCTGCCACTACCACTCGCGGTAGAAAGTTGCGCTGCGCTGCTTTCTACTCTTTTCTTTCGCCCGCGCCTCTCCCTCTATCGCTCTATGGCTCTTCTCCGGCTCTGGTCTCGTCTGGTGCTGATCCTGCCGCTTCTCGTTTATGCCTCCTGCTGCCCCACAGCCCGCCACCCTTTCAACCTTTGTGCTCGGCTCTTCGTGCTCTCTCTGTGCGCCGTGCGCCATATTTCATTTCGGTCCTCTCTGCCGAACTCGATCTGGATGCTGTGCCGTGCACTGTTGCCGCATCAACATTAACAAAATACATTCAAATTTAAAAAATTAGAAACTTATTATTAAGAATAAAAGAAAAACTAAAATACGAGCTGGAAATAGTTTTTTTGAGAATGAAAGTGAGCAAAAAATCATTTAAGAATGCAAATAATTTCGTAGTCAAGGATCTATCAAACATTATTCTTTCGAACACTGTAACCCACAGTTTAACAAATCCTATAGAGAATGAAAGATTATCCATTTTCTCAAATGTGGTTAAATATTGAATAAAAATAAAACTACTGAAAATGGATACCACACTATAATTAATAATAAGATACAACGAAGCAACTAGTTTCACGTCTAATATATAAAAATATATACAGGGTGTCCCGAAATTGGACGGTCATATTTTAACAGCGTAATCTACATGCTAAAATAGGATTAAAAGTTCATATAAACATAAGTCCTGATGACACACTTTTGTAAATATTTTCTAAAAATTTAAAGATAACTGAACGTTCCTTGAATAATTTTTAAAATTTTTTCGATTTAAAACAATATACTCTCTCTTAAACCAAAATAATAGACTTTTAGATTTAGGGTGAGATTACAGAACGTCTGCAACTTTGCAGATCTGCAAATATGGCGGACTTACAAATGCAAGTATTCCAAAAAATATCTGCAAATTCGAAATATTTATTGTGGTTTATTACCCCCAACAACACTAAACCCAAATTTGGAATACGAAAACTTGATACTTGCATGTGTAAGTCAGTCATATTTGCAGATTTTCAAAGTTGCCGCCATATTTGCAGATCTGCAAAGTTGCAGACGTTCTGTAATCTCACCCATATTTTCAAATCTAGACAGTGAGGCTGTTTCAGCGCCAGATATATTGTTAGATAAAGATGCTAGCTTTAATAAATGGTATTCGCCAAAAAACAACTAAACCTAATTCTAATTCGAATAAAAACTGGGGTTGTGAGCTCTTCTTCAAATCTACAAACACCTTATACGATTCAGAATCGACTACAGAGCTATAGCATACTCCTCTGCAAAGCCACATATTCTAAAAACCGTTGACACTATTCAAAATAAAGCACTTCGAACCATCTCAGGTGCTTATCGAACTTCACCTATCGTGAGCTTACAAGCTGAGCTAGGAGAACCATCACTTTCAAGAAGAAGAAGAAGAAGAAGAAGAAGAAGAAGAAGAAGAAGAAGAAGAAGAAGAAGAAGAAGAAGAAGAAGAAGAAGAAGAAGAAGAAGAAGAAGAAGAAGAAGAAGAAGACAGTTTTTAACGCTCTCATATGCCTCAACCATTTTAGCCAACAAACAACATCCAGTCTATAAAAATTCTCACTCAAAAAGGTATAGCCAAATATATCACCAGAAAAAGAGAATGGATACCCCATTTTATTATAGAGGAAGCAAAGAAGTAGTCAACCTTGAAATCAATTTTCCACGAATTATATCCCCACAAATAAATACAATTTACCCATGGCTACTCCAAAGCCCGTCAGTTGATACAAGCTTAACAATCTACAACAAACATGAAACTCCCACTAAACTAATACATGATACTTTAATTTTAAAACTAGCCTCCTACTCTAACTTCCAACATATATACACAGATGCTTCCAAAACAGACAATGGTGTCACTCCAACTCTTCGAATCCAATACAAATTACCTGTGCTAAGTAGTGTGTTCACTAGAGAAATATACGCTATATATCAAGCACTGGTCTACATTAAAACATCAAATCATAAAAAATCACTTATAATCACCGATTCACTTAGTTCTCTAATGGAAATAAGGAAAGGTATACTCCTTTTTATCCTATAAATCTTCTCATCAAGACCGAGCTGCACCAACTGCAAAGCACCAAAGTGGACATAAGGTTTTTGTGGACTCCTTCCCATATTGGACTTCTTGGAAATGAAGCAGCTGACAAGTGGGCCCGTGACGCAATGATAAGTGACAGTGCAACGGTAGTGGACAAATGTGTGACTAGTGACCTAAAAATCCATTTAAAAGAAAAAGTTCTAAGTGCGTGGCAAAACGAATGGCAACAATCTGCTGCAAAGCTGAAGGAAGTGAATGTTACATCGGTACCTAGAGCAGACTTAATAAAAGATCTTGAGGTATGATTTGACTCAAAACTATCTTTTTCGGAACATATGTAAAAGAAAACGTCTGAATCATGTAGTTCTTAGGATTCGTCATTCGCAATTCAAAAATTTTCACCGAGTTTCATACATTTCAGCTACTTTACAACTCATGTCAGATCCAAACTTGAATATGACTCTGTCATCTGGGCTCCATTTTATAGTATTTATATCTCTGAGTTAGAATCAGTCCAGCGTCGCTTTCTTAAATATGCTTCCTTCAAACAAGACAGAACATATCCTGCTATAGGCTATCCCCATGATGCACTTCTTGATCGTTTTTCTGTCAAATCGCTTGAGTCCTGAATAATCACAAGTTATTCACCATCTAATCGACTGTAAAGAAGTATTATATATGCTTGAGATTTACGTGCTACGTCTAGGATAAATCTCTAAAAATCGTCTCCACTTTACAGCATGTGTAACAATCATAACGTTCTTCTATGTCATAGCGTGGACATATTTAACTGCAGCCTAGCGACAATAAAAAAATTTAACATAGCCTAAATTATATAATGTATTTTTTTCCTTTTAAATGAAACAATGTAGTTAGAATAGTATTCATGTAATTGTATGGCATTTATGTAATTTTTTTATTTATGTAATTTTATTGTATTCAGGTATTTATATAATGTATTTATGATTCCTATGCGGTAATTGGATGGAAATCTGTTGGATAGTGTAATAAAAAAAGTACGAGCCTGATAATGGCTACATAGGCCGAAACTAGTTGCCCCGTCGGATTGTATTATTAGTTATATTGTGGTATCGTTTCTTAGTAGTTTTATGCTAAACTAAAAATCAGAAGATAAAATTAATTTTTCTACGTTCATGCAAAAAACAAAACTTTATTGAACTATATTTAGTGAAAAAACTGGTTCTTTATTGCACTAGTGCAATAAAAATTTTATTGCACTCATCTGTCATTTTACTACAGCGTTTCATGATCATGACAAACATAAATATTCAAATCAACGCCAAATATTTAGTCCATTTTCACTTTCTGTGTTACGTTTTAAAAACAATTGCATATTTTATATTTTTTTCAATCGTTTAATAAATAAATTAATAAAAAAATGTTTTTTATTAAAAATTTCATTACAAATTATGAACACAAACGTAAATAAATGTCTCAAACAAAGGTACACGATCACGGCTACTATGATTTGGATAATACAACTGCAGTTCTATAAAAATTTTTTTGGTTTTTGCATGAAAGTAGAAAAAATATTGTATGCAACTCGTGCAAAAAGTGTTTATTGCACTCGACGTGTTGTCCAACTCGGCCTGACGACAATTTCACGTCGCGTGGAATAAACACTTACTTTTTGCACTTGTTGCATAAATAACTATTAATTGACATGTATAGGTCATCTACAATTTACTGCATATACAGGGTGTTATTTATAACACGAAAACAAGTTTGTTTATCTACAATAAATTTTCAAAATAACGATCATCTTCACGAATACATATCTGTGCTCGTCGCCTTATTGTCTGAGAAGCTCTTCTAATTTCAAATTAATTTTGTGACAGACGGACAGACAGAGGGACACAAGTGTTTCTTATTGCCAAAATTTGGGTACTAATGCGCAAATTACTTGAAAAATTCTTTGTTTTTGTCTTACAAATTTTACCGTTTTTTCATGTTTCGTCTTTTTCAAATTTAAATTTGATATTGTTTTATCACGAGAGAAATGAGACGACACAAGACGAGAGAAAGGCTCTCTCGAGCGAGAGAAGCGCCTTCTCGTCGAGACGAGAGAACAGTTTGCTCTCGCCTTACGAGACGAGACAGGCCACTCTCTCGTCTCGTCTTGTCTGGCGGCATCACTAACCGATACAGTAAAATTACAAAGGTTTTTAAAATAAGAAATCTAATCTGGAGATAAATCAGTTCTTTTAAATTTTTGTAAAGTTTTATCAAGTTCATTCATAATATGTTTTAGATTGAGAGTTTAGTAACTCTTACCTCACACAGAGGAGCATATTTATCAAATAATAGCATTAAAAAATCCTTTAATAACTCTATTCTTGAGTCAGTATTATTTTTATATTTATATTCATCCAAGGCAAAGATTTTAAATCATTCAAGACGCTGTTATAATTGAAATGTCAAAAACAACGATACGAAACAAATTTTGGACTCATTTTAAATTCCTTGAATTTAATTTCATTACATCCTAAACTAAAATCTTTATACGATTCAAAA